CACTGCACTCCAGTCTGGGTGACAGTGAGACTCCAAGTCAAAAAAAAAAAAAAAAAGAGTGTGGGTTCAGGAGCAGCCTGCTAGGTTGGCATCTGCCCCACGTTTCAGCATTTAGCATGGGGCTTAGCACAGGGGGAGCCCGTGTCAGTGTTCACGGTCACTCAATGGTGTCATCAGTGTCTTCGTTGTCTTCCTGCCCTACCCACCCATCCTATGTATCTTCGGAGCATCTGCTCTTTGCCCAGCACAGCTAACGGTGATGATCTGACTGTGAACTGGGGGACTGGGTGACCATTCTTGAGGTATCACTGAGGACACGAGCAGTCTGAGGTGTCTCTGAAGACATGAACATCATCATACCTCAGAAGGAAGGTTGCTATGGGGGCACAGGTGGGGCCACCTACCCAGGCTTGAGGGTATTAGGGCCATCTGAGTGAGGATCTGAAGAATGAATTAGGAATTAGAAGGGGGCGTGGGCCAGCAGTGCCTGTGAGCCTGTTTTGGGGTGTGGGAACAGCTTATGTAGCTCCAGAGGCAAGCATATGGCAAAAGGGAGGAGCTGCAGAAAGGACAGGACAGAGCCAGACCCTCACCTCCCTGCTTCTGGGCACCATTCCTTCATCAGTGCAGCCAGAGACTAGTCACCACAATGTTAGCATCTGTGGAGATGCAATGGATGAGAAACCCTAAACACCTCTCTGGAATAGGAAGTCTCTTAGTATCTTTCAGACTCTGTCCCCTCTACCTTCTGAGCCCATTTGCCTTGGTTGATTTACGGTGTGAGCACCCAGAATGCAAGTTTCTCAGCATGAGTGTAAACCAACTACTCCACCAAGTGGCTCTCAGGCATCCCCAGTAGTGCAGCGTAGCCCTTTGCTCCCCTGAGAGGACACCAAGTCCAGGCACATTCGCGTCCTTCCTCATGTTTCCTGGGTGTTGCGAGCTTTCTCCCCAAGAAAAGTCAGACCACAGAAAGCCTTGTCCCTGGACTCCTGCCCACCAAAGAAGCGCCTCCCCCAAGATTTAGGTTTTAGGGAATGTATGAGAAATGGTCTTTATTTTCCGCTCAGCCATTGTTGGTTACATAACTCTTTTTGTTATTCAAAGTCCCTTATGAAATAGGGCCTACACAATCAGGTTCCTTTTACAATTTAGCTTCAAAAAATGTTTTTATCTCCCTACACATCAGTTCATTTTTCATTTTTTATATTCAAAAGTATTGAGGCTGGGCACAGTGGCTCACACTTATATCCTAGCACTTTGGGGAGTCTGGGGAGTGGGGTGGGGAGGATCGCTTGAGGCTAGGAGTTCAAGAGCGACCTGGGCAACCTAGTGAGGACCCATCTCTGTAACTTTTTTTCTAATTAGCTGGGTGTGGTAATGCACGCCTGTAGTCCTCGCTACTTGGAAGGTTGACACAGGAAGATCACTGGAGTTAGGAGTTTGAGGCTGCAGTGAACTGTGACTGTGCCACTGTACTCCAGCCTGGGTCACAGGGCAAGACCCTGTCTCAGGAAAAAAAAAGTGTAGTAGGACCTATATAATTAAATTCCTTTTAGAATTCAGCTGTAGGAAAAAGAAATCTCTTAGTTCTTTGATATGTTTTCTCTTATCAGATAGTAAGAATTACTGTGTTTCTCTTTTTGCCCTTGGTGCTAGGAGTCTCAGAGCTACTCATTAAGTCTGCTATTCTGAGGCTTTGACATTAGTTTATCTCTTTTCTGTTGCCCAGAATTTTCTATTTCTATTCTAATGATCTTATTAGATGTGTTAGATATTATTTACTTCCTTTAATTGGTGTTGAAAATAGGCAGACATCAAAATTATAAATTGTATTAACTATTACCTCACTTGAATATATCTGTTATATATAATCTGTGTACATGTATATTCTGATGAAAGGAAATTGTGTCAAAAGATGCATTCAGGAAACAATAAACTAGGGAAATGGTCCATTTCAATGATCCTCAAATATTCTTAACATAATAATATCCTATAACCTTGGGGAACTGTTTAAAAATTAAGGTTTCTGGGCTTCACCCCAGCATAAATGGATGAGACTCTCAGGGTAGAATCTTTCTCCCACCTCCCCAGAGAGTCTGTTTTAGCCAGCCTAGCCCAGAGCTCATGGAAACCACTACCCTAAATCAAAGGATACAGAACCGGGCTTTCTGCCCCAGCAGCAAAATCGAGACATGAAGTGCTTTTCAAAGACTCCCTCAGTAAGAATTAGAAATTAGCATTCAAAATATGAGCCTCCTGAATCTGGCGTTGGTACTTTACTTAAAACAAGCGCTCACTATAATGGTGGAGTTGTCACAGGGCATGGTGTCCAGCATGGCCACGCAGCAGTTTGTGGGAGCCTTAGGAGACACAGAATGGGTGAGGTTAGAGTAGGCACCAATACTTGCCCGATCTCGGGAGTCCCGAAGGACCCGCAGGCGGTAGATGTATCAGCTTTCTGTTCCCATCCTAAAACTCAGTGGTTTTAAACAAAAAATCGTCTATTCAGCTTACACATCTGTGGGTCAGCAGTCTGGTCTTGACTTAGCCAAGCAGTTCTTCTGATCTGGGGGGAATCACTCACATGTCTGGCTATTGGCTAGGACGGCCAGGATGACTTGGCTCTGTGTGTCCACAGCAAGCTTGGCCATGTTCTCATGGCAGTGGCTGAAGGGATGGGTTGAAAGTCAATCAAGTTGTTTAAGCGAGTCAGCATGCCCACCACAGGAGAGCACATAGAGCTGCATGGGTTATGGCTCCAAGGAGGAGTGGACGTGGCATCGGTGACACAACCTACTCCACCAAGGATATAGAAGACAGTTCAGATACCTCAGAGAATCCCAAATAGTCTTCTGTTTATCCACCCCTTCTTCAGTGATGCTGCCCACATGGTCCAGGGTATCATGTTTCTTTGCTTTTGGCTGGGACAGATTTGTTTTGTGGGCATATATGGATTATCTCCTGCTTAATCAGAAGTTCTGTTTGGGAATGTCTTTCTTTATAGACAGAGTAAAGGAAAGAGAGAGTAATTTATTAGTCATATAGATAGCTTTTTAACAAAATAAATCACAACCTAAGGGAGGGGCTTCTTTTATCACTCTGGGATGTAGTTAGGTAGAAGGAGCAAAAGGAACATTAAAGTGTTAGTAGAAGTAAAGGTATGCTCACTTCCAGGCATAAAAACTATTTATTTTAGTCTCCACTGTGCTATATGAGATTCCAAATTTTAGCAAAACTTTTAAGACATTCAGAAAGACAAGAGAAACCACACTCCCGAGAAAATAAGCAGTCATGAGAATCTGACTTTGATATGACACAAGTACTAGATTACTTGACAGGGAACTTAAAATAACTCTAATTAATATGTGGAAGGGACTGATGGAAAGTGTGAACAGCATGCAAGATCATAGGAGTCATTGTTTTAGCAGAGAACTGGAAACTATAAGAAAGGATCCAATGGAAATACTAGAAATAAAGAACACTTAACAGAGACGAGCCTCTAACAGGCTCGTCAGTAGACGTGACACAGCCAAGGAAAGAATCAGTGAACTTGAAGTTAGGTCAGTAGAAATTACCCCGACTTAAACACACACAAAAAAGTTCTAAAGCAACAATGACAAAGCAGAGTACCCAAAAGTTGTAGGATAAAGGCACATGCTATAGCATACAGGTAATTGGAATCCTTGAAGGAAAAAAGGGGGGGGGGTGGAGAGAATGAATAGTGGGACCGAAGGAATATTTAAATAAATAATAGCTAAAGAAAAGAAAAGAAATAATCGCTGAGAATTTTCTCAAATTAATGACATATGCCAGACCATAGATCCAGGAAGTTCAGAGAACACTAAATAGGATAAATAGCAACAAGAACATACCCTGTCAAAGCATATTTAAACTACTGAAAACAAGACAGAAGATCTTAAAGGTAATCAGAGAAAACAGAAATGACATACAGAGAAACAAAAATAAGAATTACAGCAGGCTTCTTGTCAGAAACCATGCAAATCAAAGAGGATGCCAAGACATCTTTAAAAGTGCTGAAAAAAAAGCCAGTTGCTGGGCGTGGTGGTACCCACCTGTAATCACAGCTACTCAGGAGTCTGAGGTAGGCATGATTGTTAGATGACATGATTGTCCATGTACAAAAGCTCCTAGGACTAATAAGAGTTCCACAAGGTCTCAGGATACAAGGTCAATATATAAAAGTTAACAGTTTTGATGTATGCTAACAATGAACAAGTAGTATCAAAATAATTTGAATTTTTAAGTTTGAAATTTAAAAATACCATTTGAGTACATTTTAAATATATGAAAATAAAATAGGTATAAATCTAATACAATACATGAAGATTCTAAGGTTGAAAACTGTGAAATGCTGATATATTAAAGAAGCTTAAATAATGGAGCGGTGGAAGCCTTGATATTGTAATTATATCAATTCTCTACCATTTGATTTACAGATTTAGTGTAATCCCAATCAAAATCCCAGCAAGATCTTTTTGTGGAGATCTAGAAAATGATTATAAATTTTATATTGAGGTACA